GGGGAGCCAAATTTTGGGGAGAATCAAACTTTTGAGGGAAAGTCTAATTTTTTCCATAGCAAAATTATATGTCGCAACTAACTCGTGTGCAATAAATTCTATAAAAAACAACAAAGACATGTGAGGTACGGCAACCACGATAGCGAACACTGCGTAAAGACAAACAGTGCTGTTTTCATGCCAAGGAATGGGACGACCCCGTCGTCCTCTACAATTTATTCAGTCGTTTTCAGGGCAAATTGGAACATACGAACCTCAAAGAAAAAGGGACTCTAACTGCCCTACCAGAAGATAGTACTTCCCTAAAGTTTCAGTTTTCCAGCTTTTCTGGTTTCCGATTTAGCGGTTTACCCGTCAAAATTCTCATGTGGCCGTATGTGAGGCTCAAACATGCGTGAGGGTTAGTGCCGCGGTCCGGAAGTGGCACTTGGCGGGAGAACCCACTGGCAAAATTTTGGCGTCGGAGCTTGCTTGGTTGCCGAGTTGAAATATCTGGACAAACACACACACACACGCTGTTATATGGGCTAATTTCGAGTGCCTTCGCCATCCACACATATGGGATCTGACTTACGATTATGACTAAAAACAACTACGGATATAAAAGACCTGCGATAAGAAACCAATAATTTCACGTCGAATATTCCATAATGTATAAAAATCGGGATTTTTCACCAACAAAGCAGCCGTTAACGTTAGCATTTCCTCGTCCATTTTGCCTGTAAAAGCGCCTCGAATTCAGAGTTTCACGTACTTTGCTCCGCATTAAATTGCCTCAGTACAAATTCGGTACGATGTAAGTGGGATTTTGAACTGAAAAAATGCAACAGTAAATTCGAAAACCACAAAATCAACGATCAGTTTGTACACAAAAAACAAAAATTTCTCACCGGTGGCTGGGCTACCAATCAATAAAACTCAAAAATTTAAAAAAAAAATTAGGGCTGTTCTTCCAATCTTTCTTCGTTGAATTGCGTCACACAAATCACCAAATTCTACAAGGAGAAAAAACCCACACAAAAAAATTTATCCCATCGAAAAAGAAATTTATTAAAAGATGCAAAAAAAGGAAAAGGATTTATTTTGATTTATTTTGATGCTAAAGAATCAGCTTCTTATAATTCACAAAAAAAGGATACCTCATAAAAACAAAAAATGAATACCTTTCGTTCGTTTTCGAAAATTCACTTCAAACCTCCCCATGTCCCTTCCCTCCTCTTCCCCATCAAATATCCAACCCAATAAATCACAATAAATTAAAAAAAAAACCTTTTGATCGTTCGTCAAAAATTCGATCCCTTGTTTTGCAATATGCCTTCAGTTTGGTCGTTTGTTCCACCTTTCGCTTCTCTTTCTGCTCATCGCTCATCGGTACCTTCTTATTATTATGCATTTTCTCCTGGAACCAACTCAATTATTAATGCAAAAAGTCCAAATTTCTTGCAATTCGTCCTCCCTGAGGAACCGAGGGAATTCGGGGGTAACTGGGGCCCTGTAGGGGGTGCATGAACAGTAGCCATTCCCTGCCAACGCTGTCGATGGTTCCCTCTTTCGAAAGGTGTTGCTTGAAAGGGAAAACTGAAGGAGGGCTGAGCTACCAAGATGCTAATTTATCATGGTTCTTATCATGAATAATCGTTCCCAATATCATTTCTTCCCCAAATTTATAAAAAAAAGCAAGAAAAACTCGTGATTAGCATTTTAAAAAAATCATTATTTCCTTCATTTTTATCACCACCATTTTGATGATATTTCATAATCACCCCATTTTATCATGATTTTGCCCAGTTTATTATCCCATTTTCTTTATGCTTTATCATGGTTTTTGACATTTTCGATAACCACTTTAATTTATCATTATTTTGGTCATTTCACTATCATTTTCGTTGTTTTATCCTGGGTTTTTGACATTTCAAACAATCACTTTAATTTATCATTATTTCATCGCAATTTCACTATCATTTTCGTCGTTTTATCAAGATTTTTCATTTTTCTTACAATTTTATCATTTTTTTATCATGGAAATTTATCAGTTTTACCGATGAACGAAATTTTCTTCTTTGTCCCTGTAAAATTTTGCAGTGCACGTATAACCCTACCAACAATAGCTTTCCCCGAGTATCTGACTGTTTAACAACATAAACACATGTAACCCCGCCCCGCCCTCCCCAAATCCTCCCCGCCATCCCCATC